TTTTAAATTTAATATAATTTTGTAGTTAACAGTAATTTGTTTGCAAATATAATATATATATATATATTTTTGTTATAAAATTAAATGATATTATCAACAAACAAAATATAAATCAACAAATATTTTTTGATTTGAGACAACTTTTCTAATAGTTTTTATTTTTTTTCATATCAATTGCTCTAATAAACTATTTTTTGCCACAATTTACTACTACTACTACTTAAACTATTATTATATTATATATTATTATTACTACTATAATATTACTAGTTTTTCAAAAAAAATAAAATAAATTTTTTTTAGTTGACTTAAAACTAGTTATACTATATTATCGATATATCATATCAATTATAAATAGATTATTAATGTCTATTAAAATAAAATCTAAATATATTATTGATATATATATATATATATTATTTCCTTATTTTATTTTTATTTATTTAAACTTTTATATATAGATTGTAATAAAAAATAGTTTTTAATAGTAATAATTATCATATAGTTTAAAACTATTTAATAAACTATATATATATATATATATTTATATATTTATAGACATGTAATTTAAATATAAAATAAATATAAACATTTAATATCTAAACAGTATATGTAAATAGTATATCAAATTTGAAAAAAATCTACAATTATTTTAATAATTTTTAAACATATCAATCAATTAAATCATTTTTTTAAAATTATTAAATTTTATTTGTTTTATTACTAGTCATGAAAATATAAATAAAGTTATATATTAATAGCCATAACTATTATATTTTATTAAATCAATTATAATATAACAAACATACACATACACATACACATACACATACACATACACATACACATACACATACACATACACATACACATACACATACACATACACATACACATACACATACACATACACATACACATACACATACACATACACATACACATACACACATACACATACACATACACATACACATACACATACACATACACATACACATACACATACACATACACATACACATACACATACACATACACATACACATACACATACACATACACATACACATACACATACACATACACATACACATACACATACACATACACATACACATAATAATTATACTGTACTATAATATCAAATAATAATTTATTTATCAATTTAATACAATAATTATTATTAAAAAAAATAATTAAAAAATTGTTATTCAAATTTAACATAAGTGGGCGGCGGCGCCAACTGTCTATTTGATAGACCCATTAGTATATCATATTTATCGGCAGCGGCTAATAGAGGAGGACTACTACTGTCCTCCCGATGATGATCCCGATGACAACCTATTGGCGGCGATAATGTTGCTGATGACCATCGTTGCTGACCACCACCCGATACCTCAAGCTCCCGGTGCTGCTGCCGCTGTCTAGACGACCAGCCGCGGCCGCAGCTGCCTATTTCATTGATACGTATAACAACCAGATAGACACTGGCCAGTGAGGCAATAACGGCCACGGTAAACAGAAACGATGTTATCAGTGCCACAATACGTACGTCCCATTGACAGGTATTCCAGTATAGGGCAGTCAATTTCAGGCACTGGCCACCATCATTGACATCACTACTACCATTGCTACTGTCATCGCCGGCGGCTATTGTCCACCGATAGCGTCTAAAGTAACGACACGATCGATCAGTCAGGCAATAGTAACAGTGCCGCGAACGGACACACCGGTCGCACGATCCGTTACGTCGGGCACAGTATAGGTCGGCTAAGTCCCAGTGCCGGGGCTGCCATTCCCTGTCCTCATCTGTTTCACTGTTGTTGTTGGTTATGATGATAGGCAGCACAGGTAGAGCATCAGCAGCACCGGTGGCACCGGTAGTATTGCCGATAAAGTTATCCATGATATCGATGTTGTTGGTATTGGCGGCGCCGGCGGCGGTATCGGCGGCAGCGGTATTATTGGTGGCCATTACTGTAGGTAATGGCCATTCAATGATACTGATTATCGTAAGTATTATTATTATTAATAATATTGATATTAGAAAAATTGATGATAATTTTTGTGACATTTTTTTTTTGTTGTTGAAAAAAAAACTTTTAATATTATTTAGTAGTAGTAGTAATAGTAGTACTTTATATTAAAATAATATACAAAATATATTATTATTATAAGTTGAAACTAATTGTGATAATTAGTTATGAGTCTACTTAATATATATTTAATTAATTAATTAAAAAAATTAAAAAAATAAAAGTAGTAAATGATTCATAAATAATATCAGTAAATATATATTTATATATATTATAAGTAATATATTTTTTTTGTATAAAAAAACCATATTTGATAAATAGTTTTCTACTAAATTATAATATGATATATACATATAATTTTTATTACTTTTATTTTAATATTATTATTTCTATTATTATTAATACTACTACTACAACTACTACTACTACTACTACTACTACTACTACTAATAATAATAATAATATTAAAAAATTTTGTTATTAAATTATTAAATATAATGATTAAATGAAATCTAATGAAAATTTAAAAAAAAAATAACAAAATATAAATATAATACAGAATTCGCAGTAAAGCTAATTGTTTATTAATATTATAACTATTTTATAGTAATATAATTATGTCTTATTAATGTTTTACAGTTTGTTTTGTATACTTTAATATTATTATCATTAATTAAAATATTAATAATAATTTTTAAAAATCTTTACAAACTATAACAAACAAAAATTAAAATATTTTATATTAATAAATTAAATTAACTATTATTATTATTATTATTATTTGCTATCTAAATTTATAATTTACTTTATAAATTATATCTAAATATAATATATAATAAATATAATTAAAATATCTAAAAATTAATTCTAAAATTTCTAAATAAATAAAATAATTGATTAATTTTGTAAAACTATTTTTTTGCAAAATTAAAAAATATATTATTTTAGCAAAAAAAAATATTGTAAATTTATAAAACAAAAAAATATTTATAAATATACACATATAAAAATATTAGTAATTTAATTGTTTTTTTTGTGTGTATAGTTTTAATATTATATTGAAAAACTTTATTGAAATAATAGTCACAAATTAAGTAAAACAATAATTATTATTTACATCAAAATTACCAATTATTAAGACATATCTATAAAAAAAAATTTATTAGAAATTTAGAAAATAAAATTACCAAGTTTAAAATTTAAATAAAATATGTTTATATAATTTTTTTTAATAATAATAATATACAGTAATAATAATAATAATAATAATAATTAGTAATTTATACAAATAAAAAAAAATGTGGATTAATTATAACAATAGTGTTTTTATAGTGTAAATACTTATATATATATATATTATATATAATTAATTAATTAATTGTAATTTTTTTAAATAAATAATTGGCAACTTATATATTAATAATAATAATTATTATTATTATAGATAATATTAATTATTAAAAAAATGTAACTTTTTTATTTAGTTAATTATTTTATGAAATAATAAAAAAACAACACCATAATTATATAATAATAATAATAATAATAATTACAATAATATAATTAATAATTGTATTAAAAATTTTATATAATAGTAATAATAATTGTGAACACATATTAGTTGCTATAATTTTTAAATATTAATAAGCATTTAATAATAATAATAATATAAAATTGCATTTTTTAAAAATTTGTTTGTTATGTATTACAACATATTTTTGTATATATATTTATTAAGCTCTCTATATATATTCACATTTATTAGTTTTTTATTAGTTTTTTTTATAAAATAATTAATTGAATTATAATCAATCATATAAAAAAAATTAAATTAAAAATGTGTATTTGTAATTGTTTATATATATATATATATCTAAATAATTCAATTATAATAAATACATATACAGTATATATATATGTATAAATAAAATTAAATTTGTATATAATTGAATTCATTTATATATATATATATATATATATATAACTATATAAAACAAAATAGTAATAAATTGTAAATATTGCAATTATTTTTTAAAATAATCAAAATTAATAAAAAAAAGTAGTATAAGTATTTTTTTCAACAAAAAATTAGCAAGCTGCATTTTTTTTATAATAATAATAATTTTGTGTTATAAATATTACCGGTAATCATACTGTATTATTTAGATGCATAATATATATATTTTTTTATAGTAAAAAATATTGGGTTTAAAATATATATAAATTGCTATAATAATTATTATAATTATTTTTAAAAAAAAAATTTTTGTTAGGGTTTTAGTGTCGCATAAAATTAATAATAAATTCAAAAGAGATTCATAAATAATAATAAAATGTTTGACAATAAAAAAATTTTTTTAAATTTAAAATTAAAAATATTATATTAAATTGTTTTTTGTTTTTAATATAAAATTGTTTTCATATATACTGTATATATAATTGTATTTAATTTTTTGTTTGTTTGTATGTTAAATGACTATTTGTGCGAGTCTTCAAAAAAATAAATGAGGTATCAATCGATTGTAATATTAATTAATTAATTAATTTTTTTGTTTAAATAATTATAATAATAATAATAATAATTACTATAATAATACTGTAAATACATAAACTTAATATACATGGGTATAGATAGATATATTTAGATAATTATTACTGTATATGAATATATATATATAGTGATTATTATATAATCATAATTATCATATATATATATATATATATATATATATATATATATATAATTTATATATATATCTAGTATAAAGTAAATAATTAAACCGTAATTTAAATGTTTGTTTATATATATATATATATTTTGTATATAAATGCCAATATTATTGTACTGTATATATAATAATAATAATATATTATTTTGAATAATATTTTTTTTGTTAAATATATTTGTTTGTAACCTCAATACATATACACACACACATAAAAAATTGTTTGTAACCTTAAAGTAATAATAATAATAATAATAATAGTAATACTATAGTATCAAAAAAAAAACTGTCGGTATTTTGTATGAAGGGTCGGGTGTGTCGGTTAGGGGGTCTCTCTATCAACACTTGCGACCACTACTACAGCCACACTTGCGTACAATTTCGACATCTTTGGTATATTTTGAACCGTCACTGCAGGCCATACGGACCGTCCGATGTTTACTCTTCAATGGCTTACAACAGTTGCCGTCACCACCACCAGCACCTGTACTACTACTACAAGTGCCCGTACAGTGGGCTAACTTTAGTTTTTTAGTCGACCGACAACCGCTTTCTTCATCGTACAGATAGTCACGTTTTACCGACTTTTGACAGCTACCTGTCCCCGATCCGGAAAGTGCTGCCGCTGCTGCTGCTGCTGCTACCGTTCCCATTGATTTCTCTGTGTTTTAATAATGAAAAAATAGGTTTAGATAAAGGTTAGGGTACACACATACACACATATACACACACTCACACACACACACACATACACACACACACATACATACACATACACATACACATACACATACACATACACATACACATACACATACACATACACATACACATACACATACACATACACATACACATACACATACACATACATACCTTCATCACAGTACTGTCCTGTCCAACCCGGATGACATTTGCACTGGTAGTGGGCTTTGTCGCCCCGTTTGCTCGAAAGCTTTGGCACACATTTACCGTTTTGGCACTGATTGTTGGCGCAAACCTTACTGCTGGTCGCCGTCGCCGACGCCGCTGCTGCTGCCGTCGAGGCTGACGTCGACGAGTCGTCGATATAGCCGTACGGATTATGATGATGACCACTGGCCAAGTGGGTCAGATGGTCGTCAAATGATGGACAACTGCCGCCACCGCTGCCGCCGCCAGTCTGTATGTGATGCTGACGGCGGGCGCTGTTCAGGTCGGGCGCCAAACCGTTAATATAGATTTCACGCATACAACCTATTTTTGGGTGTATGATATGAGAGAGTGGGTGAGTGAGTAAGTAATTGATTGATTGAGTGGGTGAGTGAGAAATACCTTCAAGACTTGACTGATTCCATAGATGCCAGTTCTTGACGGCTATGGCGGCCACATCCGCGGGTATACCGCCAATAAACAACGGTTGCTGTTTGACATCCAGATGCTCGCGGGTACCTTCGTTAACAATGGTACGGCCCGGGCCGCCATCGACACGCATTGTAATATTTTTCTTGACCAATACGAGCTCGACGTGATGCCAGCGGCCATCGTTTACGGTTGAATAGGAAAACATTGTCGACACCGGATAGTTGCCGACATCCAGCGATATCCGCAGCCGACCCCTAAACAACTCGACAGCCATATGCTGGCTATCGGTACCCACCAAATACAGTACGACACCCGATTCGCGTTGAGTGGCCAACCGAAAGGTCAGGTTGAGCATCGGTAGTATAGATTTGCTAACCGAATCCAACTCGAGATAACTATCCGGTTGTCGGAACGTTACGGCCGATAGTTGTTCGCATCGGCGACCCGTATAGCCGGCCGTACATTTGCATACATAGTCGGATGAGCCGGAAATCGGCTGAAAACATACACCATATTTGGTACAGTCGTGCTGCTGGCACGGGCTGGTCTGCTGGGGATACATTTCGACCATTGGCTCCAGTTCACAATATTTACCCGAAAATCCTACTGGACAGTCGCATCGGTAGGCATTCAGGCCATCCACACAAGTGGCACCATTCTGGCACATATGATCGCGGCCGCAATCATCCACATTATCCGTACAATTTTGCCCGGCATATCCCGGCTGGCATAGGCACTGATAGTGCGATCGATGATCGACACAGTGGCCACCGTTTTTGCACGGCTGCTGCTGCTGCTGATGGTGTCCACTGGAGGTGCCGGCGGCGCTACAAAATTGGATTTTTGTTTCGCAATAGTCGCCCGAATACCCGGGCTGACAGTGGCACCGGTATGAGTCGATTTGGTCGATACAGGTGCCATTGTTTTCGCATTTGTTGGCCAGACAGTCGTCGATGTTGTGCTGGCATCGGTCGCCATCAAAACCTATCGTCGATTAAATAAATTGAAATAAATTGAAATAAATTAAAAAACAAATTTTTTTTTAGTTAAAAATCATTGCTTATATACTTATTTGGTTTAAATAATAACTAATATATTATATATATATATATATATATATGTTATAAACTATTAATTGTATTATATTTAGGTAAACTTGAAGTTAAATTAGTTTATTAAAAAAAACTAAAAATAAAATATCTATTAAAAAAAATATTTATTAATAATTTTTTTTTATGTTGTATAACAATATATCTATAAACTATAAACTATAGTTACTATATATTAATCGGTAATTATTTAATTATTTATTTATTTTTTTGTGATTTTAGTACAATTAAGCAAATAAATTAAGTGCACTGCACAGTTTAGCTTAGTTATACAAAACACATATATACAACCATGGGGAACTATACCTGGGGAACAGTGGCAATTAAATCGGCCAGCCTCCATCACCTTACAGGTGCCCTGATTTTCGCACGGCTGCCCGAAACAGGCATCGATTTTATACTCGCAATGATCGCCATAAAAACCGGGTGCGCACTGGCATGTATAGGCCCTCAATGGCCGGGCCTGACAGCTGGCACCGTTAGCGCAGGGAAACGAATAGCACGAATCGCATTTGGCCAGTATCTGCGGATCGGGATCTTCGGCACAGAGAAAATGAGAGGCCGGTGCCGACATTATCAACTTGTCCCGCATAGCCCGGGGCTCGTGACATCGGGCGATACCACCTAAATATTATTGGATACCAAACAACAACAACAACAAAAATATTAGTATAAATATTAAGTATTAAATATGTAATTATAAAATATATGATAATAATTATTATTACTGTATTAACTAATTATGTAATTATTATTATATATTATATTTAAATTAATTTATAGATATGTTGGTAATACAATAGTAATTTTTATATTTTAGTTTATATACATTTATATAGTTAAAAATTTATTTTTAAAAAAATTATGAATAGTAATAATAATTATCCTAATAATAATAATAAAATTATAAAAATAAATGTATAAATTATTATTATTATTTTTATTATTATTATTTGATATGTTACCTAGTTGCATTTTGATAATAATAATAATAATAAATAAAAATTTCAATTATAAATCATTATTTAAAAAAAAAAACATTTAATGTATAAAAAAATTTGGGTATTTTTTTAAAGCGGAAAAATAACTATATTTTTTTCATAATTAATTATTAAAACTATTTTTTTAAAAAAAATTTTAATTAAAAACCAACCAAACCATTACCCCTAACCCAACCCCCCAACCCTAACCCTTAATACCTTCAATAAAATCCCGTTGTATCCATTTGGCCAGCCATCGGAGATTACAATCGCAATACAATGGATTGGCACCCATAGCCACATGCGATATACTAATCAAATCCATGAACGACCCTTCGGGTAGCATCGATATGTCGTTTCCGTGCAATGATAGAACCCGGAGTTTTTTCAGACCCCTGAACGCACCCGATTGGATACATTGGAGTTTATTGTAGCTCAAGATCAGGGTCTGCAGCTCGGATAGGTTGCCGAAAATGTTGTCCTCCAATAGGCTAATCTGATTGTTGCTCAGATCCAGTCGAGTCAATTGGGACAGTTGGTTGACATGAGGTGATACCCGGCCAATGTCGTTGACATCCATGTATAGTTCCGTCGACAATGGATCCATATACCTGTGCAGCAGCAGTGTATAGATAGATAGATAAGTTAATTAATTAATTAAATACATATATATAATGTTAAAAATTAATAATAAAAAATATATTAATTATTCTAAAAAATTAAATCTTAAATAATATTAATAATATTAAACATACTAATAATTATTTTAAAAAATAAATAATTTTTTTATCTATACTTATTAATATCTGGTAATACAGTGTAAAATATATTTATTTATTTTTTTTTTAAAAATATTATTGGGTAACTAAAATAATTTTTTAAAAAATTTTTAACTGTATTTTTTTCTTAATGTTGTTTTTTTAATTACCGGTAATTAATTAAATAAATTACACACACACACACAAATTACTACCGGTAATTGTATTTTCATT